TTCCCTCCTGCAAGGCAAACTTCTCATCTTCTGAAAGCAGCCTAAGTCACTTGCCTTGAGGAAGCTTTCTTGAACTCCTCAATATCACTCCTTTTTGTATTGTGAGGGTGTGGTCTGTGTTGCCATCCTAAGTAACCATGTGATCATCAGAGCAGGAACCATGTCTGTCCCCTTTTCCTGCATGCTGGGACAAGCATCAGCATAAAGTAGGGTATTGCCAAGTGTTTTTATTTTGTTTGTTGGTTTATTAATTCTCTTTCTACTAAATACTAGCTGGGAGCCCTCAGCAAATTAACCTTTTGAACTTCATTTTTCTACTTCAGGGATAAGAATTCTTCTCATATTTATTAGGAAGTTTAATTGAGATAATGTGTGTAAAATACTTGGCCCTTAGTCCTTAACAGGAGGAGGAAGGAAAGGAAGAGGAGGGACAAGCAGCTGCTGCCACTGCCATTTTGTGACAAGGAAAGAGTGGCTGGCAACTGTCTTGAGTGCTTTTGTTTGGGCTCATACAATGATTACTCTTTCTCACTCCCTAAGCAGATGTGTATGTGTTAGGATTGCAGCTATGACGACAGCTGCTGTGATGCTTACACATTGGGATCTGATGGATAAGAAGAGTCCTTGGCCCAGTAAAAAAGACAGGAGACAGGAGGCCTCTGAACTCTGCTAGGTGGATTTTATACAAAAAGCAATAGTGCCAATCAGTATGAATTGTGCTCAAGATAAAGCACTGTGACTTGGAGTTAGAAACTTAGATTCAAACTTCAGTCATGAAGAAATAGGATTCTTTCAGGTAAGTCACTTGTCAACTCTCTGGGTCTCAGCTATACCCTCTGAAGGAGAGCTCATAATCCCAAAGCTTTTGGGGAGGATTGAATGAGACACTGTGGGTGAAAGTACTTTGTTAACTGAAAAACACTAAGCACCAAAGGTTCACTTATTGTTGCAGGAAACTCAAGATGGGCCTCTACAGTCCCAGGGAAGGTTTGGAGCTGGTAGTGGGAGATAGGTCAACAAAGAATGTGAGTTTCTGTCTCAGAAAGTGGGCTACAGGATGAGGGAGATTGCACCGCTGAGGGAAGGATGTAGACGGCAGGGGATGCAGTGATGCACTCTGCCTGGGTCCACCCTATTGAAAGCCTTCCAGTTGGGCCATATTTCACTCCTTGCAGAGAGTGGACTTTCATTGTATGTGGGATTAAATTCTAAAGTCAGCCATGAGGGAAAAACCATGAACAGTCACAACCACTCTTACCTATAAGTCACCTGGAAAGTATAGTAGGTATGGTTCTGTAACACAACCCTATAGAGCAACTTTTGATTATTTGCTAGTTTGCAGCCACTGTGTAGATGTTTAGGTATGTAAACCTTTCTCCTTTTAGAGCCTAATCAAAGTCATACAGTGGGCAGAGGTGGTAGAGAATTCTGAAATGTTCTTGCTTGCTGCAAAATTGATCCCACTTTGTTTTTATTATTAAACTAGAGGCCTGGTGCATGAAAATTCATGCACTCAGGGAGGTCCCTCTGCCCAGCCTGTGCCCTCTTGCAGTCCGGGACCCCTCGGGGGATGTCCACTTGTCAGCTTAGGCCCGCTCCCTGGGATATTGGGCCTAAGCTGGCAGACAGACATCCTCTGGCAGCCCGGGAGTCCTCAGTCAGACATCCTTAGCACTGACGAGGAGGCGGGAGAGGCTCCTGCCACCGCTGCTGCATTTGTAGCCATCAGCCCTGCTTGTGGCTGAGTGGAGCTTCCCCTGTGGGAGTGCACTGACCACCAGGGGTAGCTCCTGCATTGAGCGTCTGCCCCCTGGTGGTCAGTGCATGTCATAGCGACCAGTTGTTCCTCCATTAGGGTCAATTTGCACATTACTCTTTTATTATATAAGAACTCTCTCATCTGAGACCTATTGATGGACCTATTAGTTGTTGTGAGGAGTAGATTAAATAACATATACAACAGTGTCTATCACAGAATAACGTACAATATATCATAGTGTGATGTGAATGAAAACTGGCTTTGCCAGAAGGACAAACACTGAGTACTTTGAAAACTGGTTTCCTGTCCTTTCCCCAAGTTGGCATTTCCTTTGCTGGCCCACAGACAATCTGTTACTCCTTAGCGGGGCCACCCATCCCATGGCACCACAAGCAGGGTTGGAGGTGCTTAGCCCTTAATGTCAGACATGTGAGACCACTGCCTGGGAGTGTGACTTGGCATCTGTTGTGTTTCCTTTCTTCCCCTTTGTTTTGTACATAGATTTACTCTAACCAGTCTTAAGTTCATCCAGGATAGTATCATTCAAGTAACAGGTAAATAGAAAACCATATTCTGTGCTGCGCTGATGCTGTCACCTGTACTTACTCCATAGTTAAACAAATATACAAGCCCTCCCATGGCAGGGGAGCCCCAGCAGTCCTCTTTGAGATGAGAGGGCTTTTCACAGTAAATTTGGGAATCCCTGCCTGTGGCATGAGGATATTAGAGGCCGTGTATTCCTGTTCAGCTATAGAGAAGGGTGGAGATATTTTATGTGAAACTTGTGGACCTCAGGTCATAACCAGTACCGCCACCTCCCCTCCCTGAAGCCTGCTCTGGGTTCTTAACTTTTCACTGTAAATTAATGAAAAGGTTTGAGTTAATAAACCAGTGCCCTATAGGTTTTCTAGTAATGAACCCATCCTCCATGTGCAGGAGGACCTAACAACCATCTTTCCTGACCCTCTGGGTGCATCAGTCACTGTGCTGGGCAGAGGGGCTGCAGCAGTGAACAGAGAAGAAATGGTCCCAGCCCTCATGGAGGTTCAAGTCCATGAGCACTGTCTGGTAGGCTGGCTGTGATGGTGGAGCTGCTTTGTGTCTGTGATATTCAGTACAGTCACTACTAGCCATGTGTGGCCACTGAGTGCTTGAAAGATGACTAATGTGACTGAGGAGTTTTTAACTCTATTTCATTTACATGAATTTAAATTTAAATAGCTACACGTGGCTACTGGCTACCATATTGGACATTGCAGTGTAGAGGCAGAGAATCTATATATATTAAAGCCTAAGCAACTGAACGACCAAATGACTGGTTGACCAGTCACTATGATGCGCACTGACCACCAGGGGGAAGTTGCTCAACACAGGAGCTGCCCGCTGGTGGTCAGTGCGCTCCCACAGCGGGAGCACCACTCAGCTGACAGATGGACACCAGACGCTGGGCTCACAGCTAGCAAGTGCAGCTTCAGCAGCGCAAGCCTCTTCCTCCTCCACAGCAGCACTACCAAGCAGCGGCGGTGGCAGGTGCAGCGGGGCTAGGATGAGCGGGTGTGGTGTGGCACCCGGCCCAGACTTGGGCTCCTTCCTGGCCACCTGCCGCTTCACTACTGGGCCTGGGAATGCCATAGAGAGCAGAGAACAGTGCAAGCATCTAGCAAATTGTTGGGGAAGGAAAATAAAATTCAAGTAGCTAAGAGTTCTGGCCTGAACTCTCAACTTCTGTATTAGTGAACATGCATTGTTTTATAATATTTCAAGAGGTTTAAGTGAAAACAGGATATCTTTATTCTTAACATTAAAAGCAAATACTAGTATAACCTATAAAGAGCACATAGCAAGATTTCTAACAATGGAATTTTGCACAGTTAGGAAGTAGGGGTAAGCTGGGAACTGCTGCTTCACTTCCCCCAAGGGGTCCCAGATTACAAGAGGGCACAGGCCAGGCTGAGGGACCCCACCAGTGCATGAATCCATGCACCAGGCCTCTAGTGTGTAATATAAGGAGACTAAGCTTGAAAGTCAGAAAATGTGAATTTGAGCTGTGCCTTTGCCCCCAGATGGCGGTCTGACTTAGTTAAAGCTAGTCAAATTTCTTAAGCCTATCTTGGCAGGAAGTAAATTACCCTTTGGGGTTGTTATGGATATTAAATTATAAATTTGTTAAAAACAAACAAGAAAAAGAAAGTTGTGGGTTTTTTGTTAATCCTCACTTGAGGATATTTTTTACCCATTGATTTTTTTTTAGAGAGAGTGGAAGGAAGGAAGGAGGGGTAGAGAGAGAGAAACACTGGTATGAGAGAGACACATCAATTGGTTATCTCCCCCATAAATCCCAATCGGGGTGGGGAATGGAACCTGCAACCCAGGTATGTGACCTGACTTGGAATTGAACCCAAGACACTTCAATGCTCTAACTTCTTGCCGGGGCAAGAAGATAAGTATTTTTTTTTTCTTGTTGTCAATCCTTACCAGAAGATATTTTTTTCCATTGATTTTTAGAGAGAATGGAAGGAAGGGGGGCGAGACAGAGAGAGAGAAACATCAATGTGAGAGAGACACATCAATTGGTTGCTTCCCACATGTGCCCCAGGATTGAGCTTGCACTGATATATGTACATGCCCTTGACCGGAATCAAACCTGAGACCATTCAGTCTGCAGACCAACACTCTAACTGCTGAGCAAAACTGGCTATCACAAAAAGGAAGCTTTTTACAAAGAACAATGAAAATATTAAATGCTATTTTAAAGATTTCTGTTGACATTAACTCTCATGAAGAATCTACAATGTTTCCAATGTCATTAGCTGTAAATTTGCACCTTAAAAATCTGTTTAGTTATAGGTCATTTGGGATATTAGTGAAAACCTTTGAGCCTGTTAGTGAATAATTGTTCTTGTTTTCCATTGTTATATTTTTAATGGAAGCCAGTTCTCCCTGTTTATTAATATTATTAGTTGTCTCATGTGTCTGCTAATAAACTTTGAATGTCAGCAGAAACACCACAAATCTCCTTCCCTCAGGCCAGCTGAGGTGCCCCCTTTCATTATTTCTCTTGGTCTCTGTCAAAGCAGCAGTTAGAGCTGAGATCTTGGCAGCTTTACTCCAGTACACACTGCAGCTATGCCTCACAGAGCAGCATGCCTGAGACTTGCAAATGAAGATGACAGGATATATATGTGCAGCATCTCCCCTTTGGCCATTTATCTGACTGTGCCCCTTGCAGAGTGTACTTTACCCGTCATGGAAGGGGTAGCCCCATGTGCTATTGTCCATGAGACATTTAGAACCCTTGTTGATGGAGATAGCTGAGATGACAAATGAGTATCCAGCCCCCAAGAATCCGATCACAGCAAATATTGTGGAGGTGAACATCTGAAAGATAAGGAGACAGTCAGGTTCTTAAGTTGGTCCAGAGGTTGCTCTCAACACACCTAACCAGCCTGTTGTTGAGCATGGTAGCTACAGGAACATTACAGGTAAAAGCCAGTATTTCCAGGAGATGGGGCCTCTCAGGTCTACTAGAATGATTTAGGTGTCTCATGTCCCCTTCTTTGCCTCATGCCCATATATTTTTCACCTATTCACCGATGATTGAAGTGATAATTATGAAATTCATGCATGGATAGGGTCCCTAGGCCTGGCCAATATGTGCGGAGACTGGCAGGGAGATCGGGGAGGCCCCCACTGTCACCTGCCTTGGCTGGCCTGGGGCCTGCAGGCTGGGGGCAGCTCCTGCATAGAGCATCTGCCCCCTGGTGGTCAGTGCGTGTCATAGTGACCAGTCATTCCACTGCTGCCCCAATCATCCCTCAGGAGCAGGGGGAGGTGGAGAAGCCCTGAGGGGTGATCAGGGCCAGTGCTGAACACTGGCAGCAGGTGAGAACAGGGCCAGCAGCAGGTGTGAGCACCGGGTGGGACCGCGGTGCACAGGAGCAAAGAATTTTCAGTAACCACCAGAGGCTTGCCCCGATGACAGCGACTGGTGTCCTGCCTTGGTCTGGTGCCTCCGCTCACCTGCTCCACCATCTCGCCATGGCCAACACCTGCCATGTTCCGTGCTCTGCTGCCTGCTTCTGATGCCCGCCATGTTCTGTGTGCACCCCCTGGTGGTCAGCACATGTCATAGCAACTGATTGTTTGGTTGTTCTTTTTTTGGTCTATTTTTATATTAGCCTTTTATTATATAGGATTATTATATAGGACTAGAGGCAAGGTGCACACAATTCATGCGCTGGAGGGGTGTCCCTCAGCCTGGCCTGAACCCTCTCCAATCTGGGACCCCTTGGGGGATGTCTGACTGTCCCTCTCACAATCCAGGACTGCTGGCTCCTAACCGCTCACCTGCCTGATTGTCCCTAACCACTTCTGCCTGCCAGCCTGATTGCCCCCTAACTGCTCCCCTGCCAGCCTGATTGCCCCCAACTGACGTCCCCTGCCAGTCATCTTGTAGCAGCCCTCTTGTAGTGGCCATCTTGTGATGATGTTGCATGAGGGCGTCGTGCAAGGGCATCGCGAGAAGGCGTGATGCCACCTAGGATGTTATTATATAGGATACTCTTGAACCGAGTTTTTCAATCTTAAGTATAGAATTTCCTTTATAGGGCTAATATGGAAGACCAGTCTATTATAGAATCAAAGAATATTACAATTTAAAATGATCTTAAAAGTTTTCTGGTTTAATAATTTCACAGAGACTAAGTCACTCTGTAGTCTTATGCACCATGCAGGTTCTGCTTATGAGAGAGAGAGTAGAAGTCTAAAAATTATCATTGGTTACAGTTTCATTCCTTGAGGTTAGAAAGATTGAGTCCAATCTCTCTTCCATTTGGTAGCAGCCTTTAAAATATTTGGACATTTTATATGTTAAATAAGCATATTTTTATATTTTACATCACTCCCCTCCTTCTGCCCTCTGAAAGTTTTCTTTGGGTTAAACAAACCCAATAATTCTAGTTTATTTACCTGTTTTATATGACAAAGATTACTTTGTAAAAAGTTTATTGCAATAGCAGCTTTCTTTTTTTAAATGTATAGTCAAAAAATTATACAGTATGAAAGGCATAAAAAAAGTCATGGAGCTCATTCAGGCAAACTGTCTCTTACAGATGGAAAATATTAGGCCCAGAAATATAATGTCCATTCTAAACAGCAATAAGAGAGTAGCATGGAAACATCAATAATTTTGGAAACAGAGGTGGAAAATGATCACTTCTATTACTTTGGTGACATGAAGGGGCAGTGCCAAGCATAGGAGTGTTTTTTTAAATATATTTTATTGGTTTTTTACAGAGAGGAAGGGGGCGGGATAAAGAGTTAGAAACATCGATGAGAGAGAAACATCCATCAGCTGCCTCCTGCACACTCCCTACTGGGATGTGCCCACAACCAAGGTACATGCCCTTGACTGGAATCGAACCTGGGACCCTTGAGTCTGCAGGCTGACACTCTATCCACTGAACCAAACCGGTTAGGGCAGCATAAGAGTTTTTTCCCTTAAAAATAATTTTTATTTACAGTTGATGTACAATATTATAATAGTTTCAGGTATACAACATAGTGATTAGACCAGCCGTGGGCAAACTACGGCCCGTGGGCCGAATCCAGCCCGTTTGAAATGAATAAAACTAAAAAAAAAAAAAAAAAAAAAAAAGACCGTATCCTTTTATGTAATGATGTTTACTTTGAATTTATATTAGTTCACACAAACACTCCATCCATGCTTTTGTTCTGGCCCTCCGGTCCAGTTTAAGAACCCAGCTAACTGAAAGTAACCTCACAGGGTGATTTCATCATAAATTGCTAACTAGGCAGGTGATTGTGGGTAGTCCCTCACCCCTGGCCTATAAAAGGTTTATCTTCCCCTTAACCAAGCCCCATCCGTCTTAATTTGCATCTAGCTTAACACACCTTGGCAATACCTATTTTCAGACCCTTGGAGGTGGAACCATCCTCAAGGGATCATCTAATCTTGTTAAATAGCTGAAACCTAATCATGGAGATTTCTCTGCCTTGCTTTCTTCTACCTTCATGCAATCTTCCTTATGTTCCCTTCTTAATTCCAAATGCATAAAAGAACCTGCAAAATGATCATTATTTGGAACACTTGAGATCTTGCTTCCTGGCTTAAAAGAAGTCTTATAAATATTCTGTTCAGGTGTGGATGTTCTTACATCAACAATGATTATGATTACTCTCAGGAGGGAATGTAGTGTAATAGAGGAGAGGAACAGTGACTCTCAATTGAATCAGTAGTGATTTATTTCTTTATAAAACTATCTGAAGAAAATACGGCATTGAATTATAACTTCTTTAAACTACAGGTGGCATGTTCTGGTTTTATATCCCAGTTTAAATTTCTTACCTTAAAATGAATAAAACAACCACCCCAAACTGATTTTTCATAATGATTCCAGAGGAAACACATGAAGCAAGGTACACTTTACGTTATTTTGCTGTAAGTAATTTTAAGTTTAGAAGTCTTTAAAAATTGCCAAATTCACTACTCAGAGATAGAGCCAGTCTTTTTTTTTTTTTTTTAAATATATTTTATTGATTTTTCACAGAGAGGAAGGGAGAGAGATAGAGAGTTAGAAACATCGATGAGAGAGAAACATCGATCAGCTGCCTCTAGCACATCTCCCACTGGGGATGTGCCCGCAACCCAGGTACATGCCCTTGGCCGGAATCGAACCCGGGACCTTTCAGTCCGGAGGCCGACGCTCTATCCACTGAGCCAAACCGGTCTTGGCTAGAGCCAGTCTTAAAACCAGTATGGAATAACTAATTTTTCATGGGTTTCAGTATACAAAATATTTTTATGTTAAAAGAAAAATTATAGATTACGGAAGATGGTGGCGATATAGGCAGACGGGTCCCAGGTCGTGTCCTGGAGCAAATGGAGTGAGCAGCTGAAACTAATAACACCCACCCCAAATTGGCGAAATTACTCAGCTGGTGAGACAGTTTGCAGCCAGGAAGGGCAGAACTCCCCTGGAAAGGTAAAAAAAAACAAGGATTTGGGCAGGAAAGTTTGCCAGACCTCTGAGCCCAGAGGGTCAGAGGGAGACTGAGTGGCAGACAGCTGCGTCCCTTGGGACAAGCACAGCCCCTGACTGGAGAAAGGAGATCCGAGGGATTCCTGACGCCAGGGGATTTGAGATCTGGGTTCTGTGATCATGGAGGACTGAGCCTAAAGGGGGCAGCCTGAAGAGCTGGCCAGACCATGCAGAGCTGGTAAGAGAAGAGCTTACAGAAACTAAGCCTTCCCCATTTCCACAGCTGGCGTTTGTTTGTTTGTTTTCACTGAATCCTGTATATAAGACATTTCAGATACAGACACTCACCTGTGCTGAAGAGAGGGAGAAGGTGCGGATGAGTGGAATCTGGGGAGAGGATGGGGAGAGGGGGGGGGCGGGAGAGGTGGCAGCGAATTGAGTGCTGAGACACCCCTGGGCCCAGGATCCAGGCAGCCATTCTCTCCAGAGGGTGGGACTCCTCCACCTATCCCCCAGGCAAGGAGCACAGCCACACCCAGATTCCACCCTGAAGGAGATCAAGGATTAAAAAAATCTGATCAGTCCCTGGGAGTTAACAGGGTCTGGCCTATAGAGGGATTTTCAATCCTAGCAACAACACAGAGCAGGTAACTATTAAGGAACCAGCTCTGGGCAGTGGACTTCCCCACACCAGTTTTAAGTGCAATAGAGACGATAAACCCAAGCTACTGGACAGAGAGGCCCTATAGCCTCAGAGGCCAACCCCAAAACACTGCCACCCAGAGGCTGAGCCACAAACTGACTCTTAGCTAAATACAAATTAAGGCAGTCTGGGAAACAAATACGGCCTGCTTTAAAATCAGGACTGTGGTTTACAACACGGAGGAACAGTGTATCGCAGGGAAATTCAACACTCTCCTGAATACCTGACAGGACTAAGGCAAGCCAGACTGACGAGTAGAAGAACTGAAGGACCTTCACCACTGCAAATTTTTTTTCTTCTTTTTTCTTTTTTCACCTTTTAACTAAGAAACCAATTTTTTTTCTTTTTTTTCCATCACCTGATTTTACCCTTTTAATTACTACATTTTTATTTTTAACCAGTATTATTACTGCTACCATTTTACCATTTTTTAAAGTGCCATTTTATTTTCTCTTTATTTTTTGGGGGGATTAGTGTTCTCCATTCTATTTTCATCGTTCCTTTAGCATCAAATTTCCCTACCTCAATTTTACCTCTATGCTAAAACCCTCTCTCTCACTTTTCCCCTTTTGTTGTCCTGTTTCTCTTACCCTATTCCTGCTTTAGATTTTCCCTATTCCTTCTGTTTACCTCCTGTCAAAATTTCATCCTACTTATATATCCAATTTCCAATC